CCCTTAGAGCTCACGGGGAAAACAAAACGTCTCCCATATCGCCCTCTTGTGGCCGTACAGATACTGCACACYGATGATCCTCTCCAACTCTTCGTCTCCCTTTCTTCCTCTCAAACTCAGATAAGACATCAGAGGAACATTTGATTTTAGAGAAAGACACTTCCACACAGCACACGGACGGAGACAAAGCCATGAATGTCAATTACACACCAGTTATCAGGAGATTCGATTCAATCTGATATCCTCCTTGTTTACACTTGAGCTGAATAAACAAGAKGGACGGATTACTGACGGGTAATCCTGGATGGGGAAACAAATCTGGAAAATTCAGGGGAACAGCGGGGGACTTTTGTGTGCACGCATTTCAAAGTTTTGTGGGGTTTTTTTTGGCATGTCTGGGGCAGGTTTGTGATAAAAACCACAGAAACGAACTCCTTCCTGCTTCTATCCATCATGATTTCCTCTAGATAAATATAAAACCTGCGATGCCATATTGAAGCAGAATATAGCCTCCATAAATCCTCACGGAAGACTTTAATGTCAAACAGTGGCGTACTGGAGTGGCCTGATATTAAAAAGATATAATCACTCCCCTGGGCAAGCTAAGCTATTTTTTCCCCCCAAGATTGCTCAAATGCGAGTACATTTAGTCCTAATGAAATGCAGATTTCATGTCTCGTGGTAAAATTACCACCTCGAAATTATTTGCGTGACGAATCATTGAGGCTGTTTTTAGCTCAATCGTTACAGAACAGTCGCAGGCACATGGGCGTTTTCTTTACACACARACAATGGGAATAATTGCCATTCTGGGGACTCTAACTGCTGCGCTGAACCCTGCTCCCGGTATAACAGCCTGTCATTCCACAGATTTCACAGATGTACGGGGTCTGAATGCAGTTCCGGTAATTGCCATTGGCATTGTGTTCCTGTTGCAAGAGTTTGCAAATATGAAATCATTAAAGATGGTAATTGTCCTTAAAGCGCCCATGGGAGCTATTATTTTGGGTATGAGGGGCAGGTATAAGATTTGGGGTTTGGGAGGAGATGGGTTTGTCCCAACTGAGGTGACTGGAATCCCATTTTATTGCATTTTTGGCGTCAGACAGCATGACATTCATTCATAAGGTTCAGTAAATCTGCACAAAGGGATGGCTCAGGAAAAGCTCTAAGGCATTGAACTGGAGGAAAGAATCAACAAAAATGAACAAAATTATCATTTTGTTTACYAAATGAATTGAGCCTGATTAGAATATATGTTTGGGACATGTAAGTCACGTGTGTCAAACTCAAGGCCCYTGGACCAAATGAGGCCCATAGGTGACATCCATCTGGTCCGAGAATTATTTGCCTAATTTAATATAAAAATACATTTTAAATCAATTGAAAATTTTACAATCATGATTCATAGCAAACATATAAACAAAAAAAAATGCGTGTCCAACCCCTGAGCTGTTGACTTTGAGTAACTGTGGCCCCGCCCCCAAGCTTTATATCATGTTATAATGCCATCCCTTCATCAGAAACATACCCAGAGAGTTGCTTTGACTCGTAGATGCWTGTTTGAGAAATCCTTGAATCTCCAGTGMTAGCAATGTGGAGCTGCCTAAACGCTTGCTGGTACAAAGCTCCGCCTATTTGTACAWAGRTCCTCCCTGGAGCTCAGTCCTCACCCCACAGAGCACCCCTCCCTCAAAGCATTGTTTGAAAACGTGTTGAAGTGGGAGTGTCGGAAATGGTAGGAGGTTCTTAACAAAACAGAGGTCAATTTCAAGTTGTTTAGCTACGGCTATGATGCAAAGTCAAATTTAMTTTRGATATATGCAGCTTGTGGTGTAAAATAAAACTATGTGCCTAGAAACTAGATAATCCCCCCCCCCTTTAATTTGCCCTGTATTAATGTCTTAACGTAAGCTGCTTTAAAGCCAGTATTGARCATAAACTACATCTCCCATAATGCAAGTCTGTTATTTTACTCGTAAAATGACAGCAACCCGCCACAAGGCGAAGGTGTACAGTTTTCAAAAGTAGCTGGCAAAATTCACAGTATAAAATCTACATTAAGCTGCATTTTCTCCAGCTACTTTTGCTGCAGTCCAGTTTTATTGGGAAGTGGGAATTTCCCACTTACAAGTCATAAATTTAAACTGGAACACCCCTCCAGTGGGAAATTCATGTTGGAAAGGGGGAGTTCCGAATTCATAATGACAGCTACTCACCAAACCGCATCAACGAATAAATCTCTTACTTTTAATAGTATTTCTGTATAATCTATTTCACGTTTAGTCAGTGGTACACAAAGTACTTTTCAGTGTTTATAAGAGGATGTTTGAAAACGCTGTTTATATGCAGGAAATACCATGTAGAGCTCAGATATTGTTTGTTAGCGGTGCTCAGTTGCAGCATTGAGACGAGGAATGTGACGTTTCCTGTTTAGTTAAAGAAGAAAGGTTGGCCCACAGTGAAAATGAGTTGGACATTCCCTGAGACAACCCTACCACTCTGAGCAAACTTCATAAGAGTTCTCTAAATATATAATACTGACCTGGTGGGACCCCTGAGGATATAGTGGAGGAGGACAGTTGGCCCTGGCCCTTGGAGGTCATTCCTGCCACTTCGATGGTGTACGTGGTGAGGGCGGTGAGTCCCGTGACCCTGTACTCCAGGGTGACGTTGGGCATGTAGTGGGTGACTCTGGTGTTGGTTCGGTTGAACTCCTCCCACGAGATGCGGTAACCTGAGGAGCAGCGAGATCGGTTACCGCAGTTACCGGAGCAGAGCGAGGATCCTCTCGGAGAAAATCCTACAGTGGGTTTTTACAACAATAGCGACTCTCCGCTCCGCGCCGTGGGGAAAGCTAACAGAAATATTAAATTAACTTCATCAAAAATTGAATATAGCAAATATAATCAGCCAGTGATTACACTTCCCTGCACTCACACATCCTCTGCACACTTACACACACACACTCACCCTCTCAAAGTTAATGTAATTTGCTCCTTGGCCAGCAGCTCTTTTCATGTGATTGCATAAAGCATTAAGCAGCATTTCTTGCCAAATCAGTAATCTCACATGGCATGTCAGTGTTTGTCTCCTGGGAGTGTGGAGCGCGGTAAAAAGTCCTGTAAAAAAACAACATTTAACAAAATGCTGGTAACTCTCGTGGTTCGTAAACAATCTGCTTCTTTATCATTTGTTATTAATTAGAAACGTCAGGCCAAGACGCTTCCAAATTAGGATGGAGTTTCAGAACAGTTGGTTTGATGACGACGTAAAAAGAAAAGATCAAACTTCGTAAAGTGACAAACGAGTGGCTCTGTGGGAGCTGTGCGCTTGGCTCAATTATTTCATGTTTGCAAGAGTGCATAGACGGGTCACTTTTTTGCGATTAAAATGTTCCAAACATCAGGAAGAGGTGCAAAGAGTTTATTTGATCCTGCTAGACTCAGGTTTAGAGGCCGACTGATATGAGTTTCTCCGTGTCTCATTTGTCTTCATGCGGCTCTGTAATGGACAGGCAAACCTGTCCAGGGTGTCCCTCCGCCTCTCATCCAATGTCTGCCGGAGACAGGCACCTGCTGCCCGCGGCCCGGAAAGGAAAAGCGGGTAAAGAAAACCAACGACTGAACGAAGGATGTCCATTAATTCCCGATTACCTACAAATTCCAGTGAAAACAATTTGTCACAGTTCTCTGATGGGGAAATAAAAAAACGCGAAAATCATTAGCAGAAAGTGGCCGGAGGCACTTTTCATATTAAAAATTAATGAAAAATAAAAAAAGGATTTCTCATTTACGGCACTGATCAATATATTCGTCTATACCTTCCAGGTGTTTAATTACCAGGAACTTATTTTCATTCTGACACGTTGCAGCACGATGGATCAGTGGTTAGCACRGACGCCTCACAGCAGGAGGTTTTGGACCTGGGCTTCTTTCTGTTTGGAGTTTTGCATGTTCTTTTCATGTTTGGTGCACTGGTTTCCTCCCACAGTCTAAAAAAAAAACATGCATGTTTACGCTGCCTTCAGGCCTCTATTGAAAAAGAGATATTAGATATTAGAGTCTGGTTGGTTAAATACAAGCTGAATTAAAAGAAAAATAATAATTCCACATAAACTCCTCTCCTGCTCTGCTGCGATGCTTTATAGACTTAGCTATCATTTCACAGCGTGCACACCGAAATGGCCTTCATTTCTCCTCTTTATCTGCTGGTAACAAAAAAACGAAAAAAGAAAAAGAAAGAATGGAGMCATGTATAACACAGGCAGCCTTTTTGCGGTGGATTTACTGCGCAGACTGAGTTGTGAGATGAGAAAAAAATCTTCTGTTTTTTCCCGTGGAATGCTTTCTGAAAGACGATATAATACTCCCTGACAAGCGTCGTCTCGCTGCAGCAAAGGCGTATTTGGTACCTCGCCTAGGTGGGAGGCGGCGCACGACTCCAACAGAATAAACACCCAATATTACMGTAGCTCCCGTGTGCGGAGCGCAGCAAACCAGGTCGAGCAGCCTTTGCTTTTGCTTTTTAGGAGTTGTTCCATCGGTCTCATTCGACAACAAGTCAAAGAACTGGGATGAAAAAGTTTTCTCTCTCTCAAAAAGAAAAAAATAAGTAGGTCCTCTGGATGGGTTCTTCTTTAGTGAAACGTTTCGTCTCTC